GATTATTAAACAAGTATTTAGGTGGATAATTTTTTTTTACAGAATGATGCAATTTGGAAAAAGCTTGTGCTAAAAATAAAGTATAATACAATAATTTTAGAAACAAAAGAAAGAAATATAAAATAATCGGTTTAATAAAATAGATTGATACAAGAGCAGAACGTGATCAAATATTGAGAGGAAATATTGATAGAATAAAATCCGAATATTTTTAAAATCATACTTTGCAACTTTGAAAACATTTATTATTTATAAAAAAAATCATGATTTTCTCCGAAAATTCGCGAGACGTTCTCGAAAGTAAATCGTGCTGGCGCAAATCGCGTCGTCGGCGCGTTTCTATACATAATTGACGGTTGACAACTTGAACACCCGCGTCGGAATTGCCTCTCGCCCAGATGGCAACGACAATGTCCTCCTCGTTCTTCCTTTTTTTCGGGAAAGCCGCAGGTAGCTCGCGAGGAGGGCGCGGGACAAAAGTTTCCCGACGGCTCGAATTAATGGCAAATCCATAGTGGAATGCTAGCGCTTGGTTTCCACCCTCGCGCTCTGCCAGTTGCCACACAACGCGCCTTCGGGGCTCCATCTCTCGACAGAATTGTAACTCTCGAGCGCTTTGACCTGCGACCGCTACACTGATTTCTGACAACTCGCCGTGTGTTTGCCTTGTGGAAGATACTTTCAACTCACTTATCGAGAAGTTTTCCGCAAATATTTGAGAGTCTCGCCCGCTAAACTTAATCTAAATACTTTTATAAGAAACATCATGTTATTTAGAATCTTATTTGTGAAGAACTTTTGAAATTTACGCAAAAGTATATTTTTGTATCTCTTTCAATTTTCATCGTAAGAAACATTAGTCTTTGTATATTTTAGAAACAATAGTATCTCTTGGAAAAATCATATATTACTCGATGATGTTAAAGGGATTCTAAAGTCTGTCTGTTTTATCGATAAAACTGAATTTTTTGTGCACACTAATTTTTTTTGGCTGTACAAATTGATAAATCCTTTTCTATTAAATTTAAGTACATACAATAAGGAATCGAGAGAGTCCAAATTTATATAACAAAATGAAAAAAAAAAACGTTTTAAAAATTTCAATTTTTTTCATTTTGTTATATAAATTTGGACTTCCCGGATTTTTTATTGTATGTACTTCAATCGTAGAAAAGAATTCGTCGATCTATACAGCCAAAAAAAAGATTAGTGCGCACGAACAATTTAGTTTTATCGATAAAACAGACCACTTTAAGATTTCCTTAATTTTCCTTATTTTTCGTGTGTGACTTGAGGTTAAATTTTATTGCTTAATAAAGCTTTATCTACTGAGAGAAACTGTTTGCTACGGTCGGTAAGATCTTTACTGACCCGGCAAATAGCTGAGGAAATATACCTACCTACGAAGAGTTTACTTATGTAATACCACTGTTTACACACACACACACACACACACATTTAAAAACTTATATTAAATATTAAATCAAAAATTAGGACTTTAGCCGTACTCTGACTGTACTTGCAAAATATATAGTTTTTAACGTGTAAATTACTATACATAGAAAATTCAAGTTGAATAACAATAAAATTCATGTGGAATGCAACTTTGCATTACATATATATGAATTACCCATTTAACCCTCTACTGAAATTTAACCCTAATCTTGTAAACCCTGACATGTCCGATTTTTGCATTAGTTAAAACGTTGCAAAAAATCTGTAAAAATTTATTTATGAGGTTTTATATTTTCAACATTCTAAATTAAGGAAATAACATTAGTTTAGACTATTGTTTTTATTGTTGTTTTCTTTTCTTTAAAAACTATATCGAAAGATATCTCATTTTCACAAATCGCTTGGATAATAAATTCAAAGTTTACAGAATTAGGATTAAAAAATCTCAGAACGAAAAAGACAATTTGGCCAGGAAACGAGCCTGGATTTTGTGCAGTTATCTTCCAAATTTCGAAAATATATGACTACACAAAGTTTTATTTGGTGATTTAAGTTTATATTTATTGAAGTATTATTTGTCATATTAAATAATTGATTTTCCTAAACTATCAGAGACACTCATGTGTATAACAAACGTAACATATTTAACGATACTGTATACAGTTTATATTTCTGTGTATATTTTTTTAGAGAGCACTGTATATTTTTGTAGGGAACAGTGTATATTTCTCTATAGAGAGAGAACACTTGCGCACAAGTTTTTCGCTCACATATTTTATCTATTTGTTATTAATTGCATTTTATGTGCAATTTTTTTTACACGTTTCAAAACTTGTGCAATCAAAAAATGGTCTAATCTGATTGAACAAACAGACTATATATCCACGCGGTTTTCGTGCAATTACAAATCGGCTAAATGACGCGTGCAATCCGCGGCTTAATCCGATTCCGAGATCAGGGCAAATGCGCGCGGAACAGTGAAGTGCGTGCAAATAGGCGCTGCACAGGCTTAATTTTCGGGTGTGCCAAGAAGAGTAGGAGGGAATGAGGGATAAACCTATAACGGGAATGTACCGGGATTATAAGTTGTAAGCTTCCCCGCAAAATCCCGTCCCGTTAGTAATGCGGCCAACCGGCAAGTGGATTGCTTTACTGGTCAGACAAAATCTTTTCCAGTAATACTGATCGCGCGATCAATCACAAAATCAACTTTTTTAGACATTCGATTTTGTGTCTTATGTATCACACCTCAAGAGAACAAGTCCAGCAGTTACTATACTTTCGTAATGAGTGAAGTTTGTTGGTAGTAGCACGTAATTAACACCGTGACCGTGGTATGATATTGTTCCACATGTTTCTGATAAGTTTGGTGATAGTATGAATAAAAATACTTTTTCGATCAACCAATCGGAACAAAATATGGAAATGAAAGGCTCTAATTAATTTTCTTTTGTTTTATGCATTGTGCATTAGGTATGCTAAATTTTGTACTTTGGCCGAAGAGAGTACAATAGGACAGTCGGTTTTTTTCAGTTAAAAATTGTGTACCATTAATGACTTAGTCAGAGAGTAACTCACATCCCTGCATTTAATTGATACTACTATATAAAGCAAACTGATAAATATAAATAAGACCATTGCAATTGTGATAAACACCTAATGATCTCCGGTAAAAAATTTTCCATGTATAAAATTATATGAACATATTCGGTATATATATATATATATATATATATATATATAAATTTGCATAATTAGATATAATAAGTTTAATTTGTGTATAAGTATATATGATTATATATCAAAAATTTTTTTAAAATATAGTAAAAATATNTCAAAAATTTTTTTAAAATATAGTAAAAATATAGTTTTATATACTTTTTTTGTATCTAACATGATACTAATAGAGTTATTTTGTAATTTGATATGGAATATCTCTGAAGCCATTCTCTTAAAAAAAGAAATTCTCCGTGTATAAAATTGTATGGACACATTCGGCATATAAATTTGCATAATTAGATATAATTATTTTAATTTGTGTATAAGTATGTATGAAAAATTTTTTACCGGGTCGTCGTTCTATATTAATCGCAAACGCAATGTAAGAGTTAAGACACGATGTATGCATATAAATGTGGTTACACGTAAACTTATTGAAAATAATTGTATGGTGTAAAAAGATAAGGAAACGTTAGAAAATAACAATAAAAGTTACTTGAAAATATTAATTTGATTATAAATAGTTCTAATACATAGCTTGTTACAGTACAAATATCATAATAGACTACAACCTAACGTTTAATACTTTAAAACTACAATGATTTGATTAACATATATCTCGTAACATTGAATGTTTTGCATTAAATAAATTTTATTCTTACATTAAAGAGATTTATATACTTAGATACTGTGGATTTGTGTATATTCATATATTTATGTGTGCCAAACATAATATATATATACGCAGTACCTTGCGTATATATTATAAATATTACATTTTAATAAAGAAACGAATTTATTTTATAATTAACAAATTGCAAAGTAGTAACTGTTAAACTCTAAAAAGTGCATTACGGAATTTACTCATAAACAGAAAGTATTTTTTGTTATCATAAAATAAAACTCGTTTAAACAAAAGAAACACAAGATTTGGACACAACGACTAGGTAGTTGTTCACCTAAAACTTTTTGTTTAAATACACAAAATTCTATCATAAACAGGAAGCTTATGTGCATGGAGCGAATAAAAATAATAAGCGTCAGTACTGAAAAAAAGTGGGGCATACACTTGTATTTCTTCTTTGAAGTAGGAACATACGACGATTTTCAACTTTTGCTTTAATGGCATTAACACCAAATAGTTCCTAAAACAAAATACAGAATACATTTATAATAAAATCCTATATCCTTATATATAACTTTTATAAAAAGTACGATGTACCTTTGTTCCAATTTTATAAGGTTTTAGTTATTTTTTTCCTAAATACTCAAGTTTTCAAATGTGACAACATCATAGCAATCAAACTGTTCAAACCACAGTATGGAAGTGCACGGCTCTGATTATTTCTCTTATGTCTTACGTGTTATGCATTATGCAAAAGGTTATAGTTTGATTCTAAAATATTACAATCATCGAGTAGGATCGTCATTCTCTGGCTTTTTTCCGCTAAAAGGTGTGTAACATTAGTCACTTATTCAGAGTAACGTAATTACATCCCTGCTTCGAATGGATACTGTGTATATGAAACAAACTGGTAAATATAAAGAGATCAATTGCATATGTGATAACCATCTAAAGGTCGTTATTTTTTACAACAAGTTTACAAAGGTACTTTACCTTTGTAAACTTGTCGTAAACTAAATTGCAATATGTAACAAACTAAGGAACCGTTAAAAAATAATAAGAAAAGTTACTTGCAAATATTAATTTTATTCTAAATATTACTAATACATAGCTTTATACATTACAAACATCGTAATACACTATAACTTAACGTTTACTATTTTATAAATACAATGATTTAATTAACGTATATCCTCTCGTAACATTGAATGTATAGCATTACATAAATTTTGTTCTTACATTTCAGAGACATATACATAAATATTATGGGTTTCTTAAACGTGTGACTTGTATAGGGACATATATGTATATGTGTATATTTGTGTGCCATACATAAATATACATATACGCACTAGCTCGTCATAAAAATATTACATTTTACTGAAGAAACGAATTTATTTTATGATCCACAACTTGCAAATTAGTCAATGTCAATTTCCAAAAAATGGTTTTTGGAAGTTAATCATAAACAGAAAATAATTGTGATATCATAAACTAAAACATATTTCAACAAAAGAAACGCAAATTTGATCACAACGACTTAATAATGTTTTAGCGAAATTTTTTGTTTCATTACAAAAAGGTCATTATCATAAACAGAGAACTTAAGTGCAGCCAGCGTATAGAATTGATGAGGTGTATTTGTAATTAAAAACATAGTAGGGTATACACTGAATTTTATCTTTTGCGAAAAATAAGAAAACACGACGCTTTTCAACTTTTTTTTTAATAGCGTCGAGAATAAATGGTTCCTGAAACAGATTACAAAATATAAGTATAGGAAACTTTTGTATACTTGTGTATAAAGTTTAGAAGAAGTACGAGATAAACTTCGAATAGAAATATTAAAAACTGAATCCTTTACATCGTCACTCTCTACGTATAATTACATAAGTGTCACATACGGGATTTTCAGGTTATTGCATAGTGACACTTAAAAAATCATGTTCTTTCTGGTCTCCGAAAAGTAAAGAAAAATATTCATAAGTAAGATAAAAATTTAAAACCGAAAGATGCTTAAGTGGGGAAACTATATGAAGCCATAAACTGTTAAATTGCTCTGCTTTAAAATTTGCGTTTTGGAGTTACGAGATTAGACGTAGGGAGTGACGACATGTAAACAGTAAGTTATATCTAAGAAAAAACAAAAGAAATAACGCACAGTTCGAAACACTAGTAAACTAGTATTGAACATAATCTATACATACATTTAACATGTGACGTCTATGCACCAGTGTATTCAAGAACATTTCGTTAGTAATCTGAAAAAAGTCATGTAATATTTTCACTTAGTGTCATTTCCTTACATTGTGTAACACTCTTTAATATTGGTAAGTTGTTTTTGTGTTTTAACCAAAGAAGTTACGGATTTAGACTACAATTTAACTCTTTACACATGTACACCCATATAAATACATATGTAAATGTAAAAAATTAAGAAATTCTGTTTTACATATAACTATAAAAAATAAATAAGTTCATTTAACATACCATCGACAAACCGTCGTCTGAATATATGTTATTAATAATACAATTCATTATTGCTAGTATGTTCACGTTTCTATAAAAGCAAATATCAGATATACAATTAGGATGTCAACTTATTCTTTTACATTATATAATTCATGAAACAACAATGTTTGTTCCGAGATAAAGGTGAATATAAAAAATATGCAGATTATGTAAAATACATAGTCGTATATTGCAGGAAAATACTTATGCACAGAAAACAATTGTTTTACCTTCCTATTCCATTTTTTAGTCCTACTAATATAATATCCAGCGCTAACTCATTTTTTGAGTGAATAGAAAAAATATTGAAAAGCACAGGAACAGTAACACTTTTACTTGCATTGAAACTATCTCCAAATCTTGGTAAAGCGGTACCATTAAGTAACAATAAAAAGTTATACAGATCCTCGTATTGTCTAGAGCATGGTAAAAATTTAAAGAATTCTTCTTTTTTTTGTTGGGTCTGGTATGTGTTGAATATTGTTTGCCACAAAGCAGACGTATTAAAGTTGACAGTTTCTAATATTACTCCTTGGCAATATATCCATTTCTGCCAACTTGGCAATAGTCTGCAAGTACAAAACATTATTTTAACTAAATATATAAAATTCTTATTAAAGACTTTCTTTCTCTCTCTCTCTCTCTCTCTCTCTCTCTCTCTCTCTCTCTCTCTCTCTCTCTAATCTAGTATCGCGATTTTAACCATTCTCTTTTTAATCATACAAGATATTACATATCAGAGTCGCAATATATGATATAAAAAGTTAGGACACCAACAAACGTGAACGTGCTATGAGAAAATAGAAGGATGTACTTGTTTTGTGCAGGATATTTAACATGCCAGTTTAGTATTGCATTAACATGGTCTTTGCACTTTAAACTACCAAAAATGCATGTCCACTTTAGAACTTCATGATACAATTGATGATTGTCATTATGTTTCTGAAAATATGTACGCGTCATGCCAGCAAGAACTTTATTTAACATTTCCTGGAGTTTATTCTGTAAAAGCGGTAGGTGTCATGTTGTAACAAAGTGTGAATTTTCAAGTGTCCTTAATATATAAGTATTTAAAGTATTTAAAGAGATATCTTTGTGTTACTTAGATGTCTATATTCTAGATGTCTAAAGAAAATTTTTCTTGGAATATAGTTTTGACATGAGAATATATACCAAAGCTTTCTAGTTTTTCTTACTTACATGTATGCGTGAAATGAAAAGGTTACACATTTTTTTTCTTATTTAATATTTACATGTATTGTTTCTACTTTTCATTTTTACTTAAATCTTTTTTTGAAATAAAAAATAACTACACTTGTTTTGGTGTAGTTATCTAACCTGTTTTATAGTTCATCGGTAAAGAATTTTTCATGTATAAAATTGCATGGTATGTATGAAAAATGTTTTACCGGGTAGTTATATACATATACTATGGTACCGTACCAAACTTTTTAACCATCTAGTTAACAATGAGTTTGCAATTATTACTTTCTTAGTGTATTAATTGTATTATTATTTACCTTGATATTTCTCGAAAGAACACTTTCTGGGAACGGCAACATTTTGTATATAGTTTCAAGAGCATTAAATACAGGATACCACGCTGTGTAGGAATTGTTTACATGAAATATACTGCTTGCAAGTTCAAGATATGTGTCTAGGTCAGTAGATGTTAAAACAATTTTTTTGTTATATTCTGTATTTTGTACCAAAAAATAGAAAGCATCGTCGAGTAGTTGTGCTAAAGTGACGTCAGACAAATTTGCGAGTTTAGACCCTCCGATTTTTAGAAAACGAACAATGCGTCTCCATAATTGACGGTCATACTTAACGCGATATCCTACGACAAAATAATGTTTAAAAAATCACAGTGAAAGAGAGAGAGAAAAAAAAGAGAGAAACAATGTAGTAGAAATTTACTGTTCTAAACTAATGAAAAGTTATAATATATTATAATTTTTAAGTAGAAAATTCATAATCCAGGTGTTATCTGGATATCTTATTATATTACCTGGATGATCCACGACAATAACGAACTGACTTTTATTACGAAGATTTATAAAAACTCTTTTTTCGTCTGGCTTTAGAACATGACGATAGATGGAAACACTTGTGTTTAGTATTTTTATAATGGTTACAGGTATCCTCCACTTTTTCGTGCATGGCGTTTTGTTATCAACGTCAATACAGTCTATAATTCTTTCCACCAGATGCGTATTATTGTATGGGTTTATTTGTACTACAGGATAACCACTTTGTGCTGTCCATGAAGTTATCATACTTGTGATATTTTCTGACTTCATGTATGAAATTTCGTTACGCAAGAAATACGTTTCAAACTCCTTATTCCATAAGTTATCAAGGATTGACGATTCTTTGTACATGTTGTGTGATGGATTATTCCTGACAACACATATTATAAAATCGTAATATAAAATATATCGTCAATGCTTGCCGTAAATCTCAGAAAAGAATAGTTAATGATTGTTATAAGTTATGATGACTTTACGAATATATACCGTGAAGAACATTTAAGTAAAAAATGTCAAAGTCCGTTGTATTGGAATGATTTATACATACTCACATGGTATAATATATCTTTACTGCTTCTTTAAACATAGAAGTATATAGAAAATCTTCTTTAAACACGGTATTGAGCATATAGAAGATACTGAATGCTATAACATAATTGATAATGTTGAGGTTTTAACATTTTATTGAAAAGAATAATTATACTAAGCAGAAAATACTACGGTTTTATTTGTACTATATTTTACTAATATTTCTAATCTTTAACTTATATATGCACACAATATCACTAAACTTTCTGTAAGAGTAGTTTTTATTTTATGTAACAACTACAAATGCAAATTTCGGTATTTATACAATAGTATTGTTTGTGTACATATAAAAATAACAGAAGTAGCATGTCATTTCTAACATTTGTTAATTTGAAAACTGTTAGTCGATGTGGGTTTTATTATATATCCAACTACATAAAATATAAAAATGCAAACTTGCAATAAAAGTAAGGCACACAGTTTTAAGTACAATTAATAAAATAGCTTTCTTTTGTATTAACATTTACAAAATATGACGCAAAAATAAAACGACACATGTTTCAGGCACGTTCTAAAGATCGAACAACGATCAAACTCTAAAATTGTTCAGTTACAATAAACATGGTAAAGATAATAGGTAGCTGCAAATTGTTTACAGTATACTTAAAATTTGTTTTTACACTATTTTTAAAATATGTAGCAAGATCTCATACTTTTTGGCCTACTATTTTATTTTAGACATAGAGTTAAGTAATTAAAAGTACTCAATAAATTTATTTTTCTGTACCTTTTTCTCGCCACAGTTTAGTAAGAGTTGAATTCTGTAATATGAGTGAATTTTCTTGAAAGTGAGGATCGTATTTAACTACTTCCATATAATCAAAAACTGTCCGTCGTGTTTGAACCACAATTGAATTTAGTAAAGATGTAATGTAATACTAACAACAAGTAATTTAGTAAGATAACTTTGATGATTAGTCAAATACTTACTCGTTCTGTTAGTAAGTAAGTACTATATTAGTGTTTATTACTATATTAAATGTTTATTAATAAAGCTTTTGGATATTCTTGATCAAAAAAATAAATAAACAGAAAATTATCAGTAGCACAGTGATCAAGAAATTATTAATGTAAATTATTTTCTATACACAAACATTATATATGTTTATATACTTTATTAATAAAATGGCATACTGCATATTTTTTTAGTAAAACCAAAAGATGAATATAATATTATTAATGTAAACGTTTTACACTATTTCTAAGAATAACTGTTTCTTATCTATCTTCTTTATGTAAAAATTTTTAAATGAAACTTACACAAGTATAATCTTACCTGATCGCGAAGATAAACTCCGTATACTGTTGAAAATCCTTCAATAAACCAAGAATCAAACTGTCCAAACGTAAGTAACCAATCACTAAACATTTCTTGTATCACAGTACGTGCTATCATACATGTTACTTCTCTTTCTCTTATAATAGAATCTACTTGTTTGTTGTATATACTGTTACCTTCACTGAAAATAAACATAAATGTACTGCAAGTATATTCTTTTTTTTTGTTTACAGATCTAGAGATTTTACAAGTTCTTTTCTATATTTTCCGTTGTACACATCTCACCTTAACAAAACAAGTCCAGTAGTTACAATACTTTCGTAGTAACTAAAGTTTACTGGAAGTATGAAGTACATAGTATGATGTTGCCTTGGTAAGATATGCAGCCGCATAAGTTTGCTAATATTTTTAATAAGAGATTGTGCATATAACGTGCCATTTATCTCTCGACTTTTATTTGTAATAATAACGTCGCCCGATAATATAAAACCGACATCATTTGGTATGACACCTACTGCTATCAAATGCGTAGATATTAAAGGTGTGGTGTCAAATAATGTATTCAGCATGTTTGTTCCGTAATTTTTTTGTTCCGTAACAGGCATATTTGATAGAGCTGTTTCGTTGTTTTTATGTTTAATTTGAATGGTAAATCTAGCCTTGGTAGTTGTTCTTTGCCAATATGGAAATATCCATTCATTGGGAATACGCGGTAAAATCAGAAATCTATTTAATAACAACAAAATATTACGTTACTAAGTTATTACAGTAGATAACTATATTACGGCACATAAAATATATTGACATAGTAGAAACATTATATTAATCATATTTAAACGTACCAAATGTAATAATAATAATACTACTAAAATACAGTTTTATCTAGTAAACTAGACGCTAGTTAGTATAGTTTATTTATTATTATTAAATGTTTTATAGTATATAAATTAAGAGACTTAAAAACTCTACTATATATATATATATAAAATAAAAATTAGTAGTATTATACATAGGAAAACACATATACATAAAACATTGTATGTCGCAATATTGAAAAATATAAATATTTCTTGTATGACATTTTGATAATGTGTTTTAAAACGAAATGTAATTTTTTTACAAATGATATTGTACACTGGTTGAAGTATTATACAAATGTCAGCATGTTATAGCTTTGTATGCACTTACACTTTTACTTTTTTTTGGGTCTCGTGTGTAAAAACTGTCGCAACTTTTTCTAGCTTACACTTATGTATTAAATTTATCGCGTATATTCCAGATTGTATAGGTAGTTTGTCCTTTATTACAAAAGTGCAGGCATGGCCTCTGCAAGATTCTTTGATGAAAGTAATAGACACATTTTTGAATCGACTTTTGGTACTACTTGACTGTAACGTAGTGATTTCAAAACGTGTAAATTTAGGCATGCTTGTATAAGGAAATGCTTGTTGGACATTTATTTCCTGTATATTACAATACCGACCAATTTGCAGTCTTATAGAGTTCTTTTTACATGTCACGTTTAAAAAAACATTAGAATAGACAATAAGAGAAGTGTTTTGTGTTTCTAAAGAAATATTATAGTTTATCGGATGTATACATTGTGATGTCTGAGACAAACTTTCATCCGAAGTAGAAGCAATTCCGGTGATACATATTAAGCATATAATTCTACAGAATATAAGCATCTGCATAATGCGTATCTGCAAAATGAGTTTGTTTGGTAAATCAGAAATACAGATGTACAGTAAAACAAAAGTATTATGCACAAATTTATTATAAAACGAACGTTTGTACTATCAAATACAAAAGCAATTACAGATGTGCGATTGTTACGAGTACGGTTATGAGTATACTACAATGACCTTTATTTCTATCACACATAAACATACAATATATATATCGGTTGTGTTTTACGAATTTGAAATACGAGAAAACGATTAAAAAACTAAAGTAAAGATTTATTGTAAATTACATGTTTTTGCCAAAATGTGATATTTTTTCATCAAAACTACATTTGAGAAAAAATTTTACTTTCAGTTGGGAGCGCGGAAAATTGCATGTTGTGTATTTTGGCAATGAAGAAAACTTCTTAATAAATTTTATGACTAACGTACGTACTATTTATCATATTCTAAAGATATTAACATTGAAATTTCTACGAACTGCTTTTTTGCTTCTTTATTACAAAACCATTTTATATTACAAAACGCTTGTGAGATAATAAATCCAAGTACCGATATTCACTGTCGGATATTTGTGTACAGGTAGAAAAGTTATACTTTATAACAATTGTAAATCTTCAACAACTAGACAGAGATACAAAGAAATAAGAACTTACCATTGTTTATGTAGTGATATCCAAGTCATTAAGATATAAATGTTGCAAGAAACACTATTGCAAAGTTGTAGCACAATGAGATCGAAAACGCCTGCGCGATCTTACCTCTTCGAGATATTCTCGATAACTAAGAAACGATCGGTTCTGTGAAGGATATCTACGTGCCACGAAGTAAACATCTGTGTTTGTGGAAACGACCTTATTTATGTTCTCTTCTATATACATACATGATGATAGAAATAGTGATTTTATATGTCTTTTTTGAGGTTGAATATGAGAGTATAATTTCACATACAAACTGTGTTATTTAATAATTAGATTGGTGAAGACGGAATCTACATTTGTGAAAGAATGTATTTCCAAGATTTAGTTTGAAATATACTTTAAATGTGATATTGTTCTACTGATAAAAATTCAAAGGATTTCGTTGCAAGAAAAATACGAAATTCGGAACGGCATTCAGAATTTTTACAATCTAGAGTTTAGGTATTTAGGTTCGCGTAAACGTATGTGGTGAGATGCACAATGTCACGCTCATTGCCAGCATTTACTTTGTATATATTTTTTACACCGACTGTTTTAAGAAATAAATTTTTAATAAATTTTAGTCTTTATTATATAAAATGTGTACAATTTAGTATGTCTTAAGGAGAATAGCGCGCCCAACGTTTATCATTTATTTTCTATTTTATTATTTATTATTTTTTTATCATTTATTTATTATTTATTTTTCACGTTATATCTCTTACGTAGAGTTTACGTTTTCGACATAATGAATCTATTTACTGATATTCTTTGTGTCTTATTAGCATACAATTTGTTCAGTGACAAAGAAGAATTGCAGAATATAACAATCATATTAATCGTTTGGCCGATTTGATCACTGCTATTCTTCACTTTTACAAGATCTGCGAGTTTGTGTGCGCTACAAATGCGAGAAAATCATTATCGACACGCTTTATGAGACGACGAGGTGCGAACACCGCAGCCGCGAGAAACGAATGTTCTAGCGCAAGAACATACCGGTTACGGATAAAAAGTGTAATCTCTTTGTCCAGCGTGTGTGCGCTGCTATGCATCGGCAAAATATATATTAGACCATCGTTAAACTTTCAAAGCTGTTTGGTCACTCTAAAGTTCTGGTAACTTGTAAGGTTACACGGTACGTTATATTACGTGTTTAGAATACAAATGTTATCAAAACGCGAATACCGATAAAAGAATAAAATAATCGCGCGGTTGGAAAATTGCTTGATCATATACCAAGCAGATTTTTTGTTGGTGTGAGCAATAATTCGCGTGAACTTAGAAATTGTACGGCTGCTTTCAATAAAAGATAGAAGAATATTTTTGAACGACTTAGCTGAGTACGATCAGCTGTTGACAAGGTCGTACACAAGGCTGTTTACTTACTTTTGCGAGCGATACGAAGTCGCGTGAACCATCAGGTGACTGACGCATAGAATTCGGCCATGATTTACAAGACAGCCATTTCAAACAACTTGTGATTCGGCATAGCGAGCCGAAAATTATTTACATAAAAACTATATTATCAATATATTGAAGTTTTACGAGCACATTTGTCGTTCACAGAAATTTAAAATGTCTGTTATCGGAAATCTGTTTTTGCCTGTCAGTTGTCAAACTTCTTACTTTTTTTTTTATTTAAACTAAAAAACGAAATTATTGGGTTATCGCGAGTAAAAAATTTGTATATATTTCTGATTTTTCTCTTTTTGTACTTTGAATCAATTTGATATCGCTTGCGTTACCTTGTCTTATTATTTGAACACGTTTGTGAAAGAATACGGTCATCTTGTTATTTTCTCTACATTTAGGTAAAGGTTATTCTCTTGTTACTCTTTGATTTTTTTTTTTTTTTGATATTTTTGTTATTTGTTTTTTTTTACAATTGTTTGAAGTGTGTTGTGAATTACTCTCAAAGTGTTACTAAGAAATTTATTTGGCTACCTTATTTCGTTTACAACTGTTGTATTATCAAAATCTTGAAGTAAACTCGTTACTCTTTGTTAGTTTGAGCTATGTATTAAGTTTGTTAGATTGAGCTCTATATTAAGATATGTATGATATATAAGATATATATGGCATATAATAAAATAGACAAATTAAAGAAGTTGCCTTATATATATTACCAGCATGATTACGCACAACAGCACATACATTTTACAATATTGTAAGATAAGTCTGAATGAATTGCTTGATTGTAGAAGTAAAGCAAATTGAATAGCTTAGAACAAGAAGAACAGCATATCAGAAGGAGCAAGATGCACAGTTATATCGAATATCGTATAATCTATTACATAGTGATTGAAAACTATAACTGTACCATGTAACTGCATACATAAACCTGCATCATAATTTTTCACTTTTATAGTTTATTTGCATCTTAAACATAAAGTGGTTTTAGTTTTAGATACTTGTGTTATTTTTTCACGCTCACAATAAAGTATCGCATATACATATTGTGTACCTTTGTTCCGAGGTTGGAAATTTTAGTTATTGTTTTTTTAAATAATCAATTTTTTTAATGAGACAACATCGTAGTAATCACACTTTCTACACTATGGAAGAGCGAGGCTTTGATTAATTCTTTTATGTCTTACGCGTTATGCATTCTGCAAAAGTTTGTAGTTTGCTTTTAAAAGAGTACAACAGGATCGTCGCTTTCTGGCTTTTTTCGGCTAAAAGTTGTGTAACATTAGTGACTTATTCAGAATAACGTAATTACATCCTTGCTTCTAATGAATAATGCTTATATGAAACAAACTGGTAAATATAGAGAGATCAAGTGCATATGTGATACCCATCTAAAGGTCGTTATTTTACATTAATCGCAAGACGCAAACGCAATGGTAGATGCAAATGCATGCATATAAATGTGTACATTCGTAAACTTGTTGTAAACTAAATTACAATATGTGAAAACCTAAGGAAACGTTAGAAAATAATAATAACAGTTACTTGCAAATAGTAAGTTTATTCTAAATATTACTAATACATAGCTTTATACAGTACAAACATCATAATAGACTATAACTTAACGTTTACTATTGTATAAATACAATGATTTAAGTAACATATATTTTTTCATAACATTGAATGTATAGCATTATATAAATTTTGTTCTTACATTTCAGAGACATATACATAAATATTATGGGTTTCTTAAACGTGTGACTTGTATAGTGACATATATGTATATATGTATATTTGTGTGCCATACATAAATATACATATACGCACTAGCTCGTCCTAAAAATATTACATTTTAATGAAGAAACGAATTTATTTTATGATCAACAACTTGCAAATTAGTCAATGTTAATCTTCGAAAAGTGTATTTTGGAAGTTACTCATACACAGAAAATAATTGTGATATCATAAAATAAAACGTTTTTAAACAAGAGAAACACAAATTTGATCACAACGACTTAATAATGTTTTAGTCAAATTTTTTGTTTCATTACGAAAAGTTCATTATCATAAACAGAGAACTTATGTGCAGCCAGCATATAGAAATGATGAGGTGTGTTTGTAATTAAAAACATAATAGGGTATACACTGAATTATATTTTTTGCGTTATATAAGAAACTACGACGATTTCTAATTTTTTGTTTAATGGCGGCGAGAATAAATGGTTCCTGAAACAGATTGCAAAATATAATTATAGGAAACTTTTGTATACTTGTGTCTAAAGTTTAGAAGAAGTACGATATATACTTTGAATAGAAATATTAGAAACTTAATACTTTACATCGTCACTCCCTACGTATAATTACATAAGTGTCACATACGGGATTTTCTGGTTATTGCATAGTGACACTTAGAAAATCATGTTCTTTATGGTCACCAAATAGTAAAGAAAAATATTCATAAGTAAGATAAAAATTTAAAACTGCAAGATTTTTTAATTAGGGAAACTATATGAAGCCATAAACTTGTAAACTCCTCTTCTTTAAAATTTGCGTTGTGGAGTTACGGGATTATACTTAGGGAGTGACGACATATTATAAACAGGAAGTTATATCTAAACAAAAACAGAAGAAGTAACGCACAGTTCGATAAACTAGTAAAATAGTATTGAAAATAATCTATACATACATTTAAAATGCGATGGTTATGCAGCATTGTATTCACAAACTTGTTGTTAGTAATCTGAAAAAATTCATGTAATATTTTCACTTCGTGTGATTTCCTTACATTGTGTAATACTTTTCAATATTGGTAAGTTATTTTTGTGTTTTAACAAATGAAGGTACGAATTTAGACTACACTTTAACTTTCTACACATTTATACTCATATAAATACGTATATAAATGTACAAAATTAAGAAATTGTTTTACATATATAACTACAAAAAAAAAATAAGTTCTTTCAACATACCATCGACAGGGCGTCGTCCGAATATATGTTGTTAATAACACAATTTATTATTGCTAGTATGTTCATTTTCCTATAAAAACGAATAACAAATATACAATTAGGATGTCAAATTAGTCTTGTACATTACACAATGTAACATGAGACAACAATATCTGTTCGGAGAATAAAGTTAATATGAGAAATATGCAGAATATGTAAAATACATGTTTGTGCGTATACTGCATAAAAATTCTTATATAGAACACAAACATCTTACCTTCCTATTCCATTTTTTAGTCCAAATAGTATTATTTCCAGCGCTAAATCATTTTTTGAATGCATAGACAAAAGATTGAAAAGTACAGTAATACTTTTCCTAGTAGTTACTCTACCTTCAAATGGTAGTAAGGAATCACCATTAAGAAACACTAAAAAGCTATACATTTTGTCGTACTGTCTAGAGCAAGATAAAAATTCAAAGAATTCTTCTTGTTTTTGTTGGGTCTGGTATGTGTTGAATATTGTTTGCCACAAAGCAGACGTATTAAAACTGACAGTTTCTAATATTAATCCTTGGCAGTATATCCATTTTTGCCAACTTGGCAACAGTCTGAACAAACAAAACAGTATGTTAATGAAATATATAGGTACACTTTTAATTAACGACTAATCAAGAGCTACTTCAATTATTCTTTTTTTAATTTTACAAAAGTATCGCATGTTATAGTAGTAATTCTATGTTATAACAGTTTATTAGCAACATGAGATTTTAAGGATTCTTATTGACGACAACTTGCTGAGAAAAAAAATAGAACAATGTACTTGGTTTGTGCAGGATAGTTAACATGCCAGTTTAATATTGCATTAACATGATCTTTGCATTTTAAACCATCAAGAATGCATGTCCATTTTAGAACTTCATGATAGATTTGATGAGTGTCAATATTTTTCCGAAAATATGTATGTGATATATCAGCAAGAACCGTATTCAACATTTCCAGGAGTTTATTCTGTAAAAGCGGTAGGTGTCATGTTGTAACAAAGTGTTAATTCTCAAGTATCATTATGATATAAATATTTAAACATATCTTTGTGGTACTTAGTGTTCTATATTAAAAAAAGTTTCTTTTTTACTAGTTTTGATATGAGAAGTTATACAAAATCTTTCTATTTTGTTTTTTGTTATATGTATGTGTAAAATGGGAAGAGTTCAAAGAGTTTTTTTTATTCTATATTTATATGTATTACTTCTAATTTTTATAAATCTTCTTTTGAAATAATAATTACATTTGTTTTGTAGTGCATATTTATATAATGTGGTACATTAGTAAACATTTTTACCATCTAGTTAACGATGAGTGTGCAATTATCTAGTTTCTTAATGCAATACTTGAAAATTTTATTATTTACCTTGATATTTCTCGAAAGAGTACTTTCTGGGAACGGCAACATTTTTGACATTTTTTCGAGAGCAATAAATACAGGATACCACGCTGTGTAGGAATTATTTACATGAAATATACTGCTTGCAAGTTCAAGATATGTATCTAGGTCACTATATTCTGGAACAACATTTTCGTTATACTCTGTATTTTGTAGCAAAAAATAAAAGGCATCGTCGAGCAGTTGTGCTAAAGTGACGTCAGACAACTTTGCGATTTTAGCCCCTCCGTTTTTTAGGAAAAGAGCAATGTGTTTCCAAGATTGACGGTCATAGTTAACGCGATATCCTATAGACAAATAACTGTTTAGAGAATCACAGAGAAAAAAAGTGAAACAATGTAATAGAATTATTTAGTGTTTTAAACTAACGAAAAGTTTTATATACTATAAAAAACATAAAAATAATAATTTAAGGTTTACGCGGATATCGTACTATATTACCTGGGTGATCTACGACAATAACAAACTCATTTGTATTACGAAGAAATATATCAAATCTTCTTCTGTCTGGTTTTAGAACATGGCGATGGATAGAAACACTTGTGTTTAGTATTTGTTTATAAGTCACAGGTATCCACCATTTTCGATTGCACGGTTTATTGTGATCAACGGCAAAACAATCTATAATTGTTTCCATTAGATGTTTATTATTCCGTCCTATGTGTACTACAGGATAACCAATTTCTGCTGTCCATGAAGATATTATATTTTTGAAAATGGTCGACTTCATGAATGGAAACTTATATAAGGACAACGTCTTAAATTTCTTACTGCGTATTAACGTATTAAGAATTGACAATGTTTTGTACGTGTAGTTTGATGTTTTTTTTCTGACAAATAAAATACAATTGTAACATAAAAAATAGCGGAATGCTTGCGTGAATCTCAGAAAGAATATTTAATGATTTATTTAATGATTATTATATGCTGTTAAGATATAATCACTTTACAAATATATGATGTGACAAACGTTTAAGTAAAAAGTGTCGAAGTATTTTGTATTTCAATAAGTTAAACATACTCACGTGTTATGATATAAGTTTACGGCTGCATTAAACAAAGAAGTATATAGAGAATCTTGTACAAACACAGTATTGAGCATATAGAAGACACCGAATGCTACAACATAATTCATACTGTTCAGATTTTATAGGAAAACTTTAATAGAAAAAATAATTTTAGTAAATAGAAAATACTACATATGGAAAGTACAGCTAAATTAACTTTAACACACAAAGAAGTTTACATTTAATAGTGTTATTTATATATTGTGCATTTAAGTAGATTTTATATTTTTCATCTGTAATTTTCTTTTCTTGTATAATTTATACTATAGTTTACTAATATTTACATTCTTTGACATACATATGCACATATCAGTATCATTACATTTTCTATAAAAAGATTTTTCTTGATTCGTATTCCAACAAATACAATTTACTGTACTTATACTGTCATTTACTATCCCTTATAACATTCTGTAGTTTGAAACTTGTTAGTCGATTTTGTTTTTATCATATTTGCAACTACATTAGATATAAAATTACAAACTTACAATAAAATAAAAGCGCAAAGTTTTAAGTACAATTATCAAAATAGCTTTTTGTTGTATTAACTTTTAGAATATATGTCGCAATAAAACACCTCATATTTTAGTCACGTTATACAGATGGAACGACGATCGAACTCCAAAATTATTCAGTTACAATAAACATAGTAACGATAATGAGTAGATGCAAATTTTTTACAGTATCCATAAAATTTGGTTGTACAATATGTATAAGATATATAGCAAGATCTCATACTTTTTGGCTTACCATGTTCTTTGAGACATGGTGTTAAAAATTTAGGAATGCTTATTACAGTTATTTTTTTTTACCTTTTTCTCTCCATAGTTTAGCAAGAGTTGAATTTTGTAATATGAGTGAGTTTTCTTGAATCGAAGGATCATATCTACCTATTTCAATATAATCAAAAACTGTTCGTCGAGTTTGAACCACAATCGAGTTTAGTAAAGATGTATTGTAATACTACCAACAAGTAATTTAAGATAAATGGTGATGGTTAGACAAATACTTAACCTGCTCTGCTAGTATGTAAGTACTATGTTAGAGTGTACTAAATGTTTACACTAATATAGATGTTGGTGATAATCTTGTTACAAAAAAGATAAATGACAACACTGTACGTTATTAGTAGCAAAGTGATCAAAAAATTATATGCAAGATATTCCGTACACACAAACATCGTATATATTTATATAGTTTAACAATTCTATGTCATACTGCGTATTTTTTCCGTAAAAATAAAAAATGACTGTATTACTTTTAATTGTTCTATATTATTTCTAATAATATCACTGTTTCTTATTTATTTTTTGTATATAAAAAAGTAGTTTTTGTATATAAAAAGTTTAAATGGAACTTACGTAAGAATAGTCTTACCTGATCGCGAAGATAAATTCCGTATACTGTTAAAAATCCTTCGATAAACCAAGAATCAGACTGTTTAAACATAAGTAACCAATCACTAAATATTTCTTGGATCACATTACGTGCTATCATACATGTTACTTCTCTTTCTCGTATAATAGAATCTTGTTTGTCGTATATAATGTTACCTTCACTGAAAATAAACATAAATGGTACTGCAAGTATATTCTGTTTTCTTTGATTACAGATCTAGAGATTTTACAAGCTCCTTTTTCTATTTTTAGTTGTGCACATCTTACCTTAACAAAACAAGTCCAGTAGTTACAATATTTTCGTAATAACTAAAGTTTACTGGTAGTATTAAGTATACAGTATGATGTTGCCTTGGGAAGATTTGCATTTGGATAATGGTGCTAATATCTTTAATAAGATGATGTGCATATAACGTGTCATTTATCGCTCGACTACTGATGTTAACAATACCTTCGCCCGATAATATAATACTGACATCATTTGGTACGACACCTACTGCTACCAAATGCGTGGATATTAAAGGTGTGGTGTCAAATATCGTATAGATTATGTTTGGTTCATAACGTCTGTGTTTCGTAACAAGCATATTTGATAGGGCTGTTTCGGTGTCTTTATGTTTAATTTGAATGGAAAATTCAGCCTTGGTAGCTGGATTTTCCCAATAAGGAAATATCCATTCACTGGGAATACGCGGTAAAATCAGAAATCTATATAATGAAAATAAAATAGTACAAGGTTAAATTATTACAGTAGTAAATTATAGTACGTTGGATCAAATATTGACGTGTTAGTAAAACTATAGTACTGTTATTAACACATAACAAATGTAATACTAGTAGATTACAATGCTATGTAGGAAAAAAAGACGCTAGTATCAGGATTATTTATTATTTTTAAATTTATTATAGTATAATGATTTTAAAGTATGTAGTAATAGACTAAGAAACTGTACTATATAGAGTAACAATTAGTACTTCTACATGTATTAAAACATTAAAATATAAATAATTGTTGAATAATATTTTGATGGTGTTCTGTAGAAATAGATGTAGTTTTTTCTAATTAAATTGTACTGCGATTTTATAATTATAAAAATGGTAGCATGTAGTAGATTTTTATGAACTTACTCTTTCATTTTGGTTTCGTTCCTGTATGTGCAAACAGTCGCAACTTCTTCTAACTTACACTTATGTACTAAATGTATCGTGTATATTCCAGATATAGGTAATCTTTCAGTTGTTGGAAGAAAGCATTTAAAGCAACTGTATTTGATTAAAGTAATATACACTTTTTTGAATCGATTTTTAGTACTACTTGACTGTAATGTATTGATTTCAAAACGTGTAAACTCAGGCAAGGTATAAGGAACGTCTTCTTGGACATCTATTTCCTGTATATTACAATAACGTCCAATTTGTAGTCTTATAGATTTCTTTATACATGTCACGTTAAGTAAAACAGTAGAAGAGACAATAAGAGAGGTGTTTTGTATTTCTAAGAAAATATCATAGTGTATTGGATGTATACATTGTGATGACTGAAACAACTTTTCATCCGAAGTAGAAGCAATTCCGGTGATACATATTAAGCATATCGTTCCGAAAAATATAAGCATCTGCATAATGCGTATCTACAAAATGAGTTTGTTTGTTAAACCAAAGATACAAAGACACATTACAACAAAATTATTATGCGCAAATTTATTATAAAACGAACGTTTGTAATATCAACTACAAAAGCAAGTACTGATGTGTGACCGTTACGAGTACGGTTATGAGTAATCTATAATGTTTTTTATTTCTATCACACAGAAACACACAATATGTATATCGGTTGTGGTTTTACGAATCCATGATATGAGGGGACAATTAAGAAAACAAAGTACAGATTTTAAATGTTATGACTTAAGTATGTACTATTTATCATATTCTAAAGATACTAAAATTCAAAGTTTTACGACCGTGAAGTTTGCTTCTTTATTACAAATTTATTTTATAGTACAAAACGCTTGTGAGATAATATAAATCCATGTACCGATAGTCACTGTCGGATACTTGCGTACGGTTAGAAGAAGTTATATTTTATACCACTGTAAATGTTCAACAACTAGATGGATACAAAGAAATAAGAACTTACCATTGTTTATGTAGTGATATCCAAGTCATTAAGATATAAATGTTGGAAGAAACACTATTGCAAAGTTAGAGAACAACGAGATCAAAAACGTTTTGCTTGCGCGATCTTACCTCTTCGAGATATTCTCGATAACTAAGAGACGATCGTTTCTGTGGAACGATATCTACGTGCCACGAAGTAAACATCTGTGTTTGAGAAAACGACCTTATTTTTGTTCTTTATTATATACATATAGTATGACAGAACTTTTGGTTTTACATATGTCGTTTTCACGGGTGAATATGAGAATATAATTTCACATACAGACTGTGGTATTTAATAATTAGATTGTTGAAGACGGAATCTACATTTGTGAAATAATGTATTTTCAAGACTTAATGTGAAATATACTTTAAATGTGATATTGTTCGAATGATAAGAATTCAAAGTATTTGGTTGCGGGAAAAATGCGGAATTCGGAACTGCATTCAGAATTTTTACAATCTAGATTTTAGGTATTTACGTTTGCGTAAACGTATGCGGTGACTTGCGCAATGTCACGCTCATTGCGAGCATTTACTTTGTATATATTTATTTCAACGTTTGTTTTAGGAAATAAATTTTGAATAAATTGTAGTATCACGTATGTAACATGTTTACTACTTACTATGTGTTGTAAAGAGAATAGAGCTCAACGTTTATCATTTTTTTTCCATTTTATCATTTATTTATCATTTATTTATAATTTTGTTATTATTTATTTGTCACTTTATATTTTTTATGTAGAGTTTACGTTTTCGACATAATGAATTTATTTATCGATATTCGTTGTGTTCTATTAGCATACAATTTGTTTAGTGACAAAGAAGAATTGCAGAATATAACAATCATAATAATCGATTGGCAGAGTTGATCACTGCTATTTTTCACTTTTACAAGATTTTGCGAGTTTGTGTTTGCTACTAATGCAAGAAAATAATTAGCGTTTTATGAGACGACGAGGTGCGAGCACCGCAGCCGCGAGAAACGAATGTTCTAGTAGAAGGAAGAACATACCGGTTAAAAAGTGTAATCTTTGTCCAGCATGTGTACGCAGCTATGCATCGGCAATATATATATATATATTAGATCCTCGTTAGACCTTCAGAGCTGTTTGCTCACTTTAAAGTTCTGGTAACTTGTAAGCTCACACGGTATGCTATATTACCTGTTTAAAATACAGATGTTATCAAAACGCGACTAACGCTAAAAGAATAAAATAATCGCGCGGTTGGAAAATTGCTTGATCATATACCAAGCAGATTTTTTGTTGCTGTGAGCAATAATTCGCGTGAACTTGGAAATTGTACGGCTGCTTTAAATAAAAGATAGAAGAATATTTTTGAACGACTTAGCTGAGTACGATTAGCTGTTGACAAGGTCGTACACAAAACTGTTTACTTACTTTTGCGAGCAATACGAAGTCGCGTGAACCATCAGGTGACTGACGTATAGAATTCGCCCAAGATTTACAAGACAGCCATTTCACACAACTTGTGATTCGGCATAGCGAGCCGAAAATTATTTACGTAAAAACTATTGCATTGATATATTGAAGTCTTACGAGCACATCTGTCGTGCACCGAAATTTAAACTGTCTGTTATCGGAAATCCGTCTTTGTCTGTCAGTTGTCGAACTTCTTACTCTTTTTTTCATTTAAACTAAAAAAACGAAGTTATTGGGTTATCGCGATTAACAAATTTGTACATAGTACCAATCTTTCTCTCTGTGTATTTTTAATCATTTTGATATCACTTGCGTTATCTTGTCTTATTATTTGAACACATTTGGGAAAGAGTACACGAACATGTTGATATTATTCCAAAATTTAGGTAAAATTTATTCTTTTGGTATTCGTTTTTTTTGGATAATTTTGTTATTTGGTTTTTCTCACCATTGTTTGAAGTGTGTTGTCACTTACTCTTAGGTTTGTACTAAGAAATTGATTTGGCTATCTTATTGCGTTTACAACTGTTTTATTATCAAAATCTTAAAATAAAACACTTTGGTAGATTACTCTTTGGTAGATTACTCTTTGGTAGATTGAGCTATATGTATATATATAGGAGCTATACATTAAGATATATATGACATATACTAAAATATATATGACATATAATAAGATATATATGATATACAATAAGATTTAAATGATACATGATAAAATAGACAAATTAGAGAAGTTGTTTTGTATACATTACCGACATGGTAATTACGCACAACAGCACATACACAACAAACATTTTACAATAGTGTAGACAAGTCTGATTGAAATGCTCGAGTTTACAAATAAAGCAAATTGAGAAACTTGAAACAAGAAGAACAGCATGTCAAAAAGAGCGAGATGCACAGTTATATCGAATATCTTAGAACCTATACCATATTGATTGAACAGTACATATAACTTTATCATCATTTTACATTTCTATTGTTTATTTGCATGTTAACATAAAGTGTTTTTGTTTTTAGATAAATGTAGTATGTTTTCACGCTCACTAAATAAAATATCGCATATACATATTGTGTACCGTTGTTCCAATTTTTCAATTTTGTAGTTATTTTTTTTCTAACTACTCAAGTTTTCAAATGTGACAACATCGTAGTAATCAAACTTTTTAACCCACAGTATGGAAGTGCACGGCTCTAATTATTTCTCTTATGTCTTACGCGTTATGCATTATGCAAAAAGTTATAGTTTGATTCTAAAATATTACAATCATCGAGTACGATCGTCACTCTCTGGCTTTTTTCCGCTAAAAAGTGTGTAACATTAGTCACATTTCGGAGTAACGTAATTACATCCCCGCTTTGAATGGATACTGTGTATATGAAACAAACTGGTAAATATAAAGAGATCAATTGAATATGTGATAACCATCTAAAGGTCGTTAGTTTACATTAATCGCAAGACGCAAACGCAATGGGAGATGCAAATGCATGCATATAAATGTGTACATTTGTAAACTTGTTGTAAACTAAATTGCAATATGTAAACAACTAAGGAAACGTTAGAAAATAATAATCAAAGTTACTTGCAAAAATTAATTTTATTTTAAATAATACTAATACATAACTTTTTACAGTGCAAACATCATAATAGACTATACCTTAACGTTTACTATTTTTTAAATACAAAAATTTAATTAACATATATCCTCTCATAACATTGAATGTATAGCATTACATAAAGTTTTTTCTTACATTTCAGAGACATATACATAAATATTATGGGTTTCTTAAACGTGTGATTTGCATAGTGACATATATGTATATATGTATATTTGTTTGCCATATATAAATATAAATATACGCACTAGCTCGTCATAAAAATATTACATTTTACAGAAGAAACGAATTTATTTTATGATCAACAACTTGCAATTTAGTCAATGTTAATTTCCAAAAAGTGTATTTTGGAAGTTAATCATAAACAGAAAATAATTTTGATATTATAAAATAAAACGTTTTTAAACAAGAGAAACACAAATTTGATCACAACGACTTAATAATGTTGTAGCTAAATTTTTTGTTTTTTTACAAAAAGTTCATTATCATAGAAAGAGAACTTATGTGCAGAAAGCGTATAGAAATGATGAGGTGTGTTTGTAATTAAAAACATAGTAGGGTATACACCGAACTGTATTTTTTACGTAAAATAAGAAACTACGACGATTTCCAACTTTTTTTTTAATGGCTTCGATAAGAAATTGTTTCTGAAACAGATTAGAAAATATAATATAATTATAGGAATATTTTGTATACTTGTGTATAAAGTTTATAAAAAGTACGAGATATACTTTGAATAAAATTAGTAGAAACTTAATACTTTACATATAAACAGTAAGGTATATCTAAGGAAAAACAGAAGAAATAACGCACAGTTTGAAACACTAATAAACTAGTATTGAACAAAATCTATACATACATTTAAAATGTGATGTTTATGCAGCAGTGTGTTCAAGAACATTTCGTTAGTAATCTGAAAAAATTCATGTAATATTTTTACAATTTATTTAATTTTTGTAGTTATATATGTAAAACAGAATTTCTTACTTTTTTACATTTATATATGTATTAATATGAATATAAATGTGTAGAAAGTTTAATTGTACTAAGTAAGTTTTTTACATTGTGTAACACTCTTCACTATTGCTAAGTTTTTTTTGTATTTTAACAAAAGAAGGTATGAGTTTAGACTACAACTTAACTTTCTACACATTTTTACCCATATAAATACATATATAAATAAAAAAATTAAGAAATTCTGTTTTACATATATACCTACAATAACTAAATAAGTTCAGTTAACATACCATCGACAGGCCGTCGTCTGAATATATGTTGTTAATAACACAATTTATTATTGCTAGTATGTTCACTTTCCTATAAAAACGAATAACAAATATACAATTAAGATGTCAAATTATTCTTATACATTACACAATGTAACATGAGACAACAATATCTGTCCGGAGAATAAAGTTAATATGAGAAATATGCAGAATATGTAAAATACATATTTGTGTGTGTGTGTGTGTGTGTGTGTGTGTGTGTGTGTGTGTGTGTGTGTGTGTATAATACACAAAATTTTTTTAATACACAGAAAACAATTGTTTTACCTTCCTATTCCATTTTTTAGTCCTAGTAGTATAATATCCAGCGCTGAGTCATTTTTTGAATGAATAGAAAAAATAGTGAAAAGCACAGTAACAGTAACACTTTTACTTGCATTTAAACTATCTCCAAATCTTGATAAAGCGGTACCATTAAGTAACAAGAAAAAGTTATACAGATCCTCGTACTGTCTAGAGCAAGGTAAAAATTCAAAGAATTCTTCTTTTTTTTGTTGGGTCTGGTATGTGTTGAATATTGTTTGCCACAAAGCAGACGTATTAAAAGTGACAGTTTCGAACATTACTCTTTGGCAATATATCCATTTCTGCCAACTTGGCAATAGTCTGCAAGTACAAAACATTATTTTAATTAAATATATAAAATTCTAATTAAAGACTAATCTAGTTCGCGTTTTTAACCATTCTCTTTTTAATCATACTAAAGTATTACATATCAGAGTCGCAATATATGATATAAAAATTTAGTAGCAAGATGCGGTCTTAAGGACTCCAACAAACGTCAACGTGCTATGAGAAAATAGAAGGATGTACTTGTTTTGTGCAGGATATTTAACATGCCGGTTTAATAAGCCATTAACATGTTTTTTGCACTGTAAACTACCAAAAATGCACGTCCATTTTAAAACTTCATGATACAATTGATGATTGTCATTATGTTTCCGAAAATATGTAGGCGTCATGCCAGCAAGAACTTTATTCAACATTTCCAGAAGTTTAGTCTGTAAAAGCGAAAAGTGTCATATTGTAACATAGTGTTACTTTTTACGTGTCCTTAGTATATAAATTTTTAAAGATATCTGTGTCTTACTTAGTGTTCTATATTCAAGGAATGTTCTCTTGTAATAGTTTTGACATGATAATATGTACTTAAGCTTTTTAGTTTTTCTTAATTATACGTATATGTGAAATGGAAAGATTACATAGTTTTTTTTCTTATTTAACATTTACATGTATTGCTTCTAAGTTTTATAACTTTTCTTTTAAAATAAAAAATAACTACACCTGTTTTGTAGTTCATATTTATATACATATACTGTGGTATGTTACTAAACTGTTTTACCATTTACCCTGATAGCCAAGCATGTTTTGCAAAATCATGTAACTTAATGCTGAGCTGAAGTTTTCAACTAGTTGCTGTGTATTTGCTGAATACATGATGCATATTCATACGTAATCGATAACACGAAGGCAAATTTGAGACATTTTGTGTCAGCAGATTCAGAGCAAACAAAGAGCAACTATTGCTCATTACGTTGTCAACAAAATGACTTTTATTCATAGAAAACTTTTTGCTTTATCATTCGTTTTCGTCAACATAAGAGCAACATGACGATAACAAAACAAGACACCGATGTCTGTACTTCTGTCGTATGGTTGGTAAAAACTGTTGACATATATTTATTCTATCTTGTAGCCCATTAAATGTCGAAAACAAATGACCGTCTTTTAGAATAAGTAGACAAAAATAATTATATTTTAGTAAGGAACAAGTAGTCTCGCGGACTGAGTGCAGGGATTGCAAATATGATAGTCTCGAGTTCAAATCCCACCCATCACCTTAGGATTTTTTCCGTGTCCGGTACCTTTCATCGAGTTAATCAGTTGATGGGCGAACTAAATCAGATCTCCAAAGATTAATTCGAGTGAAATCTCGAATTAATTAATTCCCTTTTCACACAGCAATGTGTTATTGAATATATTATATTTGTCCGTTTGGACATATTGTATTTTTGCTGAAATTTATTACGTGTTGTTGTCATGTTGCTCTTTATGTTAGTGATAAACCGTTGACAGCAAATACACAGCAAGTTGTCGGCAACACATGTTGAATACGTGTCATGTCAAACCAAAGACAAAATGCCTGACTCACCTTGTTCTAAATTTGCTGAAAACTTAAGCGTTTTGTTTTCGGCAACATGACAGCAAAAACATAGACAGGTAGCTATCACGGTAGTAGACGATGTGTTTGCATTTATTTACTTTCTTAATATACTACTTGTTACTTTTATTATTTACCTTGATATTTCTCGAAAGATCACTTTCTGGGAACGGCAACATTTTTGACATTTTTTCAAGAGCAATAAATATAGGATACCACGCTGTGTAGGAATTGTTTCCATTAAATATACTGCTTGCAAGTTCAAGATATGTTTCTAGGTCACTATATTCTGGAACAACATTTTCGTTATACTCTGTATTTTGTAGCAAAAAATAAAAGGCATCGTCAAGCAGTTGTGCTAAAGTGACGTCAGACAAATTTGCGATTTTAGATCCTTCGTTTTTTAGGAAAAGAGCAATGTGTTTCCAAGATTGACGGTCATAGTTAACGCGATATCCTACGACAAAAAACTGTTTAGAGAATAACAGAAACAAAGAAGTGAAACAATGGAATAGAAATATTTAGTGTTTTGAACTAACGAAAAGTTTTAATATAATATAAAAAATAAAAAACTTCTAATCGAAGGTTTACGTGGATATCGTACTATATTACCTGGGTGATCTACGACAATAACAAACTCATTTGTATTACGAAGAAATATATAAAATCTTCTTCTGTCTGGTTTTAGAACATGGCGATGGATGGAAACACTTGTGTTTAGTATTTGTTTATAGGTCACAGGTATCCACCATGTTTGGTTGCACGGCTTAATGTGATCAACGGCAAAACAATCTATAACTGTTTCCACCAGATATGTACTATTCCGTTTTATGTGTACTACAGGATAACCAATTTCTGCTGTCCATGAAGATATTATATTTTCGAATTTGGTCGAGTTCATGAATGGAAACGTATATAAGGACAACGTCTCAAAATTCTTACTCCATAACGTATTAAGAATTGACAATGTTTTGTACGTGTTGTTTGATGTCTTATTCCTGACAAATAAAATACAATCGTAATATAAAAGATAGCGGTATGCTTGCGTGAATCTCAGAAAGAATATTTAATAAATGGTATAGGATAGAATGACTTTACAAATATATGTTGTGACGAACGTTTAAATAAAAATTGCCGAAGTACTATGTATTCCAATAAGTTAAACATACTCACGTGTTATAGTATAAGTTTACGGCTACTTTAAACAAAGAAGTATATAAGTAATCTTGTACAAACACAGTATTGAGCATATAGAAGACACCGAATGCTACAACATAATTCATACTGTTCAGATTTTATTGGAAAACTTTAATAGAAAAAATAATTTTAGTAAGTACAAAATACTATGTATGGAAAGTACAGCTAAATTAACTTTAACACACATAGAAGTTTACATTTAATATTTGGATTTATATATATTACTTAAAGGTAGATTTTATATTTTTCAAGTGTCATTTTCTTTTTTTTTAATTTATATTATATTTTATTAATATTTGTATTTTTTGACATATATATGCACATAGTATCATGAAACTTTTTATAAAATTATTTTTCTTGTTTTGTATTACTACAAATACAATTTACTTTACTTATACTATCACTTACTATCAATTATAACATTCGGTAATGTGAAACCTTTTAATGGATTTTGTTTTTATGATATGTTCATCTATATCCCGGTAAAAAATTGTATAGACATATTTGGCATATAAAAATGTATATAATTAAATGTAATAATTTTAATTTGCGTATAAGTATATATGAAAAATTTTTTACCGAGAGTAGATATAAAAGTACAAACTTACAATAAAATTAAAGCACAACGTTTTTTAAATGCAATTAATAAAAAAGCTATCTTTCGTATTAACACTTAAAAAATATGTCGCAATAGAACAACTCATAGGTTAGGTTAGACACGATGTAAAGATCAAACGACAATCGAACGACGATCAAACTCCAAAATTGTTGAGTTACAATAAACATACTAAAGATAATAGCTAGATGCACATTTTTTACAGTATTCATAAAATTTGTTTTTACAGTATCTTTACGATATCCAGCAAGATGTCATACTTCTTGGCCTACCAGTTTATTTTAGACATGGATTAAAAAATTTAAGAATACTTATTAAATAATTTTTTTATTTTTACCTTTTTCTCGCCACAGTTTAGTCAGAGTTGAATTGTGTACTATGAATGAATTTTCTTGAAATGTAGGATCATATCTACCTACTTCTATATATTCAAGAACTGTCCGTCGTGTTTGAACCACAATCGAGTTTAGTAAAGATGTATTGTAATACTACCAACAAGTAATTTAAGATAAATGTTGATGGTTAGACAAATACTTAACCTGCTCTGCTAGTATGTAAGTATTATATTAGAGTGTATATATTAGAGTGACTAAATGCTTACTAATATAGCTGTTGGTGATAATCATGTGACAAAAAAGATAAATGACAACATTGTACATTATTAGTAGGAAAGTGATCAAAAAAGTATATGCAAGTTATTCTGTATACACATAGTATATATCGTCACTTCCTACGTATAATTCCGTAACTCTAAAACGCAAATTTTAGAGGAGAGCAGTTTACAAGAGTTTAAAGCTTTATATAGTTTTCCTAGTTAAGGGATCTTTCGGTATTAAATTTTTACCATACTTATGAATATTTTTTTTTAATACTTGGTGACCACAAACAACATAACTTTCTGAGTGTCACTATGCAATAAACTGAAAATCCCATATGTGACACTTATGGAAATATACGTAGGGAGTGACGATATAAAGTAGTATATATAAATATATATACTACTAAATATAAATATAATATATATATATACATTGTATATATTTATATAGTTTAACACTTCTATGTCATATTGCGTATTTTTCCGTAAAAATAAAAAATGACTGTATTACTATTAATCTTTCTATATTATTTCTAATAATATCACTGTTTCTTATTTCTTTTTTGTATATAAAAACAAGTTTAAATAGAACTTACGTAAGAATAATCTTACCTGATCGCGACGATAAACTCCGTATACTGTTAAAAATCCTTCGAGAAACCAAGAATCAGACTGTTTAAACATAAGTAACCAATCGCTAAACATTTCTTGTAGCACATTACGTACTATCATACATGTTACTTCTCTTTCTCTTATAATAGAATCCACTTGTTTGTCGTATATACTGTTACCTTCACTGAAAATAAACATAAATGATACTGCAAGTATATTCTTTTTCCTTTGTTTACAGATCTACAGAGTTTACAAGCTCTTTTTTATATTTTTCGTCGTGCACATCTTACCTTAACAAAACAAGTCCAGTAGTTACAATACTTTCGTAATAACTAAAGTTTACTGGAAGTATTAAGTATACAATATGATGTTGCCTTGGGAAAATATGCAGTTGGATAATGCTGCTAATATCTTTAATAAGT